GAACACCCCGACATAATAATAATAATAATAATAATTATAGGTAAAATCGCCGACACATTTCATGCGTGTGAAATAAATCGTCAATGAAAAGTAGAAAAAAAGTCGCTGCGCGGAAAACCAGCAATATGGTTATTGCATAATTTCTGTCGTATTTTCAGATAAAATTAAAATTATGATAAGATATGATTCTGAAGAAAAATTTATTCGAGCAACGATACACTGACCATTAATATCTACAAAATGTAGCTGAACTAATAGCTCGGTGGAAAAAAAAAAACAGGTTTAATAATAATTTAATAGGTGTCGTGGATAAGCGCGTGAAATATAACGATGACACAGCACACAACCTAATTTATTAATTTGCGCTGCAATCGAATGAAAAAGACCATTAATATCGCAGACTCATCGTGCGAAACTCACCAGTTGATCGTAATCACGTGCTGCTGAAACGCGTCTCGATATATTTTATATGTGTGCACAAGTACAACTTTCGATTTCGGGCCCACCTCGAGTTTCTCCCGCGATGTCACTCGACCGTAACACACCCGACACAGGTTATCGCAAGTGTGGAAGTATATTTTTCGTGCAGGACGTGGCGATCCTTCTTTTATCGAAAGTTGGTTCCTATAAACTCCCGCTGTCGATTACGTTTTGCTATATCACCGCGTTTCATTCGCGGTTTCACTCACCGCCGCTCGACGAATCTGAGTCCAATCTTTTGAAGGCGGTTTCGTGAGACCGCGATTTCGCGTAAATTCTTGATATCAATTCTTGATATCAAGAATTCCTGATATCAACGAACGAACGAACGTTTCAGGAAATTCCACACAATTTTAGCCGCGTTTATCCGTCACTTATTGACGCGCGCGATTGAATTCAAATTCGAAAGCACGCGCGTTCACGCGAACGTTAATCCGCTGCGTCATTAAACGTTAACATGAGTCCTACAAAGACCGTTTATGCGTGAAATCTGCTTCGGCGCGGTCGCGCCCGCGGCTCGAAAAATCGAGAGGCGTGCTCGGCGCAGCGGCGAGCCGTAATTAGGAAATCATTAAGCGCGTTGTCGGGATCGCGCCAACGACGATGGCGACGGCGATGGTGGCGTTGGCACGCCGGTGAGGAACGATGCAACGACGGCGCCGTTGATAACGACGATTTATATCAGCCGTAAAAGTCCAGCTCGCCCCTATTTCTTAATATGACTCTCGCGTTTTGCGTTTCCCGCGCGTTGCGGACGCGCGCCATCGACTTTACGAGCGAGGCAGACAGGCAAGTATACGTTACGCAAAAGAAACCTGGAGGAAAATCCAGTTCACATCGCACAACAGCGAAACGTCGTCATTCAGACGTATCTGCAACGCTTGTTTCTGGCCTGTAACCTTTTTGTAAGGGCGTTTAGCGTGTTCGATATAGAAGACGTCCAGGTATAATGAAACAAAGATATTAACGAGTTCTCAGGCGCGCGCAGCGTGAAAAAAGAGGCGATATTATCGTCGATTGCATTCTTAAACGGTGTATCGTTCGTTACGCTCGCCTGAATTAAATTTCGCAACGCGTGATGCTGTTGCGTGTGCTGGCATTCTTTTCTGCGTTACATGTTAGCGGGAGCGACTCCACGGCAGGCGCGAGTCGTGTGAGCTCCGCTCCATCGGAACTCGATTTTTTGCATGCTGCGGGTGTGTGTGTGGCATGTGGATGTTTTATTTTTCACGTAACTTTCCTAGGTTTTGTTTTCCGCATGCGGGAGTGCAGTCGCGAAGCCCCGATTATAATTAGCCGTGCGGTGGAATTCGCCTCGTGCGCATACACCGATATACGCCGCATAATACGCCGCACAGTAGCCGCTCGCAAAAGATATTCCTCCCTCTGCCACACAATGTGTAATCAATAATGTAACGTAGCTCAGTAGCTTTGTAGATTTTTATCTCTTCAAAAGTAAGAGAGCGCGAATCGCTTCCTGTTCATTTGCGAGCGTGCAGTGTAAGTGTGAGAGAAAATTCATGGCAAAATCAATACGCTAGCTTTGTGTAACGAAAATCGTACCACAAGAGGGAAAAAAGAGAGAGAGAGAGAGAGAGAGAGAGAGAGAGAGAGAGAGAGAGAGAGAGAGGCGTTTCATATATAACGAAGAAATAATATTTAATAAAAGATAACGTACAAGGTATTCCGCTCGCAACGAACGAAACGAGCGGAATATCTCGAATTGCGAAAAATTGAATTCATTTTTTCGGATTTTTTCTCGGGTGACAATTAATTAGCTGTTCCCCGGCGTTCTTTCGACTTTCAGGCAGCTCGAGGGGAATGAGCCGCCCGAAGATGACGTCGGTTTTGTTTACATGCGCTGTTCTCGTGGCGTTATGCGAGGTGCAGGCGATCTCATCGTCCTGGCGGCCGATCGTGCCAGCCCACAGCAACGCAGGTATACTGCACCAGGAGGCATCGATTTTTGGTAACGCGCCAACGCAGACGCTTTATGACGTGGACAGCCCTCATCATCTGCTGCTGCCGCAGGAGCAAGAAAGGTGTTCCCTCTACAAGGTCTCTATGAACCAGCAGCTGTACTTCGAGGTAGGATTGGCGAACGCGTCGCGCATCTCGAACACGGCGAACTGCGATTATTTGTGTGCGGCAGATGTGCAAGCATGAATATTGTATAACTTCAAAGTAGAAATTTTGAAGCCCGAGAGTTTGAGAAACTGGACGATTTGAATGACAAATTTTGTGCGAATGTCAAAAACTCAAACAAGTATCACAAGATTCTCGGGTGCGGAATCAAACTATCAAAATATAAGTTAAAAAGAGCCAGGTTACCGGTGTGTTTTGTGTGAAATATTTCTTTATACATTTGTACTGAACGTGTAAGCACGTAAGAAAATGACTTAGTAATATCAGCTAAACCGCGGTAGCTGATTCAAACTTAGTCAGAAGGTTAATCGTTTAGCTGTCACTGCTAAGAATTGACTATGACAGCTAAAATGCATATTATTTCAAGTAGCTAAGAAAATGGCAGTTATTTCTAAATTTCTTATCGTATGCATATTTTAAAGAAGTTTGCCGCACAGCTACAATCATTTGTTACAGTCATTTGTTTCTAGCAGCTAATATTTCTCGCTGTAGCGCCTAAGTTTAAACAGCGAATAAATTTAGCTTCGATAGTATCGACATTAGCTGTCCCTATTTCAGTGACACATCTTATCTGCCACAGCTATTTCTTAGCTCTGGAAGCTAGTTTTTTTTGCGCGCGCGTATGTGTGTGTGTGTGTGTGTGTGCGGTAGTAAACAGCACACGCACACTAGTCTACTGTACCAAAAATACCGGATTCGCGATTCTCGACAAGAACTGAGAATTTTTATGTCTTTCGGAAAGCAAATCACCGAGAGAGTATCTTGCCAAAGAGAAAACTCCCTCTTATTAGTCGTTCAGAAACCGGCGTTATTCTGTAAATCACGCGCGCGCATATCTGTATACAAGTAACGTGCGGACCACAGATATACGAGAAAGGTGTCACGATCCTCAGTAATAAGGGAAATGACTGAAAAGAATATATCTACATTAATCCTATCTCACTGTGCACAAACAAAAATTCTTTGCACACGACATTGTTTGGTTGTGCGCAATGATAAAACAGAACCGACGTAAGTACACTAGGATTCATAAATGCCTTTACACTTCCGGCACCTAGAGAATTAGGTTTTTTCGATCTGGCGCAAGCGTGAATCGCGACTGTTAGTTGTCGATTCTTTCAGTAACTAACAGTCATGATTCACGTTTACTGAGAAACGATGCGCCAATTCTCCAAATACCGGAAGTGTAAAGGCATTTATGAATCCTAGTGTACACAAAGAAGCCTTTCGCGCAACCGGTAATCCGCGTTTACTGGCTCTTACTGGCTTTTATATTCTGGTAGTTCGGTCAATTTGACTCGGTCAGATGCGCCGTGTGCACTAGAAGGAAATCGCGTCGCGCGATGAAATATAGGGCAGTTTGAATCGCGCAAGGTAAATACACGCGCGCAAGTGCTACGTGCGAGAATGATCACGATGGGCAAACGATCAATATATGCCTAGTTATAGAATGTTTGTTTTCCAAGTCACATGAGGCTGTTTGCTCTAGTTTCGAGCTATTGACACGGCTGTGCATCCCGTAGACGCGTGTAATACGCCGGGAAGTGGATCGTGCGCGTGGCCTCTGGTATCTAATATATTAACTGATTTGCACCATATAGCGATTGTGTAACCGCTAGGCAATTAGTGCAATCCCGATAGCATCCGATAGACACGCGATAATCTAACAGCGTCTAATAGCGCGACCGATGATTTTTTCGATTTCGAGGCAATCGCGTGGTCCCTGTTCGGCTGTCTTCTCTTTCACGGATTATGCGGGTCCGCGCATCGATCCGCGTCGAATGGATCGCGCGAATTTCCGCGCAATTTCGAGCCGTTGCGACACGACGCGCGGAATTCCGTCGTTCACATCCGTGGAGCGCTCTTCACGCTCGAGAGAGTGTAGCTTGGCACCGCGCGGTGCAAGCGAAATGACACGCGTTCTGCGGCCAACGAAAGTAAGGGGAAAACACTCTCTCGTGGCGAACGGCGGATCCCCTCGGGCGTAGAGTCTCGAAACGAGTCCTGAATTATTGGCGATCGCGCGATCCCAAACGGCCGAGACCGTGCACACCTGTTCTAATCGGCGAACGTCCTCGCGCCTTCGTGCACGCTTCGTTACAAGCGAAACTGATGAGAGTGCCGGCGCGCGCCGTCGTTTTCGACCCAACTCGCGGCCGAGAAAGCGCGCCGTCTCGTCCATGTAAATTACCCGCTCGTCTGATCCAGCATGAACGGTCATTTTTTCCAGTAGCCAGAAAGTACCGGCGAAAAATAAATGGTAGCATCGTCGGGGATTATTACGATGTTCCGAATCGCTGCAGAGCTATTGGATTATCACGCATAAGTTTTTTTCACGATTTTATAATGAGAGCGAAACGAGCAGCTGTCTCTTTTTCTCTCGTGACTCTACGACGACGACGAATTGCAACCGCGATGAAATATCTCGTTCGTACTAATTGATATTCAGATTACATAATGCGTTCGATGAAAGCAGTTTCGGGATCGAATTTTGCCGCTAATGAGTTAACTGAAAACGAGATGTAATGCTCATGTTGTCACTTGGGACACTTCTCATGTTACCGACAACAGATTGCTGATTTCGGGAGAAAGGAAGTTGAACTGTTCCGGGTAATATAGAACGGCGGTATCAGCGGCCTTCACCGAAATCGCTTTCTCGAATGTTTGAACAAGTGAATGTCCTTGTGTGTTATGATGCGTAACTAAAAAAAAGACTTAATTATCTAGGTCGCTGCTGCTGATTTGCATTTCCGTGTTCACTGCTTATCGTGATAAATTCAAGAGCTCTGAAACGTTAGAACATAACGGTGTAATGCCCAAAAAATGTGATCTCATCTTTCGTATTTTGTCGTGGAATCCTCTTATATATGATTTCAAGAGGATTCTGCTAAAATCCTCCCGAGAGGGAAATATTATAAGCATAATAATATTTCTCTTCATTAGAAGAGAAATACTCTTTTGTAAAAGGTTTCGCTTAGAATATAGGATTATAGAAAATAGCATCTTGCAATTGGATTCTTTTCCTTAATATTGTATTATAATACTTTTCTTTCGGTCTGAGAAGAATCCTTTTGAGGCTTCTTTTAAAAGCCCCCAACAGAAGAAGATCACAAGCACAATATTACTCCTTTTTATTAGAAAAGAAATATTTCTTCGTAAAGGTCTTTGCTTAGAATATGGGTTAACAGAAAATAGCATCTTGCAACTAGGATCCCTTTTTTTTTATTAGAATACTTTCCTTTTGCTTTTAGGAAAGTCCTCTTAAAGCCATATATAAGAGGATTCCACTAAGAGTGGGATTATATTTTTTGAGGTAAACAATACAAAATTTGCTTCCAAATTTCAAGCAAAGACAATGTGTCAGCGTAATTTTCACCGATAATCTCGCCGGAAAACGTTTTGTCCCTTGCAATCCTACATCAGAATGATTCGCACGTCTCGGAAAAATGAGGGGAATAGCAAAGATATAGAACGGGGTCGCAATTTCGCGACTCCAAGATAATCGTGATAATCTCGGTTCTCACAAGGAGCAATCTAACGGACACAATCGGCATAGTAAAATCGAGCGCGATGGAAAGCGGCGAGGACGAGACATATTTCTTCTATTCATCAGTAAGAGCCGTGTGCCAAGCAGCGGCATTGGCGGCGGTTCGTTTAGGCTAGACGCCAGCGCAGGTAATTGTGACCACGCGAGTGTGCAAGGGGAAAGAGACTGTCGCGAAATCGCGGTTCGTGAATGGATCCGCGAACGGAACAAAGCCCGGCCGGTTGTGTGACTTTCTATGGTCGGTCGTTGTGCGATCGTTTTCTTCGAGACGCGATGCTATCGCCAAATCGCTCATCAACTTCATTCCCCGTCGCAATTAACGGCCACGTTGACGTGGTCGAGTCTCTTATACGACGATCGATAAGGTCGAGGAAGATATTAAGCGCGGCATCATCGTGCGTGAGAACGGTTTCGCGCGCGGAAACGTGCTCTTGCGATTTTATCAGGCGGAGAAAACGGAAGTCGCGTCGCGAGGAAAATACCACTCGAATGCGATATCGATCACCCAAAATAGTATAACCTTATCTTTAGCGGAATCCTCTTATATATGGCCTCAAGAGAATCCTTCTTCCAAAAGAAAAATATCCTCAGCAGAGTATTTTTAACGGAGGAACTTTATCTTTCATTTATAGCACAAATCTTGTTCTTAACAGAAATTTCTTTTAGTGAGAGGGCATTCTGCTTCAAGTCAACACATTCTTCTTGATTGAATAGGAACAAAGAATAATATCTAATAGATCTCCTCTTAATATAGAGTTTACTTTTCATTAGAAGCGGAATACAAAAAAATATATATTCGAAAAAATTTAGTCTTCAAAAAATTTCTAAAAAGAATTTAATTTACTCAAAAAAATTTCATCTAATCAGAAAACAAATTTAATTTTATCTTTAGGAATCCTCTTATACATGACCTTAAAAGGATTTTTCCAAAACCAGAAAGAAAATATTCTAAATACAATATTCTTACAAATAAACCTATCCAAAAGGTACACTTCGATTTCTTTCTGTAGAATTCTGCACAATTGTAGAAGTACAAAAAATATTTAAGTCATAATTTTTCATTTTGGCCCGCTTTGAGATTCATGAATAATGAGTTTATAATTCTAAATTTCTTTAGCCGAGATCCCAACCGAAATATTTTAAATCTGTGCTAAATTAGTCAAAAATGATTTGAATCTCGGCCAAATCAAGAAATTATTTGTATAAATAATTTTTTTCAACCTTTTATGTGTTTTGTTTAAACATTTTATTATTTATACAAATAATTTTACACATTTGATTTCATATTCATAATCAGCAAACCAAAAACGCCTATATCTTGTATTCAATTTTATTTCTTATGCATTTTTGTTGCACTTGTTGATGATAGGAGTAAGAACATTAAAAAACTATAAACTGCCCGTGAAACTCAAAACAGGTCAAAATGAAAAAATATGACCTAAATATTTTTTGTACTTCTACATTTGCGCCAAATTAGAAAGAAATTAGAGTATAACTTTTGGGTACATTTACTTCTTATTTTTCATCCTTTATCTACAGTACAAGTCTTGTTTTTAATAGAAATTTCTCCTCTTGAGAGATTACTCGATTAGAAGTCGTCATACTCCTCTTGATTCAAAAGGAACAAAGTTAGAATAATATCTAGTACTATCTAGATAATAATATCTAGTAGTAATCTATTCTGACTAATAATAGCTCATTTCATTGGAAGAGAAATCTTTCGTTAGAAGTTTTCGCTTAAAATATGGAATTACAGGAAATAGTGTCTTACAGCTGGAGTTCCTTTCTTGATTGTTAGAATATTTTCCTTTTGTTTTAGAAGAATTCTCTTGAGTCCATATGTAAGAGGACTTACGTTAAGAGTAAGACTATATTTTTTTAGGATACTATTTTCGAGATAATAGTTTTCACTTAGAATATATGAGATTATAAGAAATAGAGTTCTTTTCTTGGATGTTAGAATATTTTCCTCTTTCTTGCGAGTTTCTTCTTGGTTTAAGGAGAATCCTCTTGTGGTCATATATAAGAGGATTCCGCCGAGAATAAGATTATATTCTTCTAGGTGATAACTTCGCGTATCTCAGGTAAAAAAGAATGTGAGACTGATAGCGGGACATTTCGATTGGGCGCGCGCTAAGTTATCAGAGCAGCGTGTACTATGAGTCGCTCTAATGCAAACATCTGTAGGTAGATTGAACGAGCGCCTCGTTGGATACACAATTGAATATTTCATCCTGGCCGTTGAATTTACGGGCCCTTTTAGTGGCCGACCGAAACATTACCTGTCAGTATTGCCGATCGTAATACGCGGTGACGCGGGTACTCTGTAGCGCGTTACAGCGCAGCGGGAAGTTTATGCGTGTCGACGTCTGTAAAAGGAGCCGGACGTGCCGCGAGAGCAATCTCGACCGCAGTCGTGACTGCCGGAGTGATTTTGCGGCCGTTTTTGGCGCAAAATCCGCTTCCCATGTACGGCCCTGTCAGGGAAATTACGCGCGCAAGAAGCAGTTCTCGACGACTACACACGGCTCTTTCGCGTCGACGTACGACGCAATCGATTAACCATAAATTCACGCAACCATCGCGGAAAAAGCGTGCTCACTCTTGTGAGTGCCTTTCGCGACGTGTCCCGTCGTGCTCGCGTGCATATACACGCGGTTACGTGGAGTTCTGAAAAAGTCGCATAGTAACGGGGCATTTTGAGAAAAACCGATTAGAAGCCTGGATTATCGTTGTGCGTTTTGAAAAAGCGCGGTAATTCATCTGTACGTAAGGCTCGATTTACAATAAATGGAGTAAGGAGTAGAAGTAAGATGAAATGGAAATAATTTATTTCGCTTACTCCCTTACTCCAATAAAAGTTTGCCCGTCTACATCACATGGAGTAAGCCTGAATTAAGTAGTAAGAGCTGGAGTAAGAGGGAGTAAGCGAAATAAATTATTTCCATTTCGTCTCCTTACTCCTTACTCCATTTTTTGTAGATCGGACCTAAAAGGGCAGGATCCATTTGACGCTGCAAACGTTTCAAAACGCCGTATAGACCAGTCACAATCTTCCTTTACATGCCCCAAAGCGTGTGCAAATGGATCGTATCTTAAGAAGCACATCTTCTCGAACAAAGTTGAAATGCGCAACACTATCCTTCACGCGCATCGCAATGTTCTCATCCGCGAGACCTTTAAAAACCCGACCATATCTCGGCGCGCGCTATCCTACTTCTCTGCGAGTCGCGAGCTGAGAATTGCGATTTTCCAGCAGCGGGGAAAACAATCCGCCGTAATAAGATCAGAACGTCGAAACGAAGAGGAGCGAGTGGCGCAAATGGAAAAGGTATAGAATCCGGAAATACGATAGTTTGATCAGCATTGTCGCTCGCGCAATGGCAAACCCCATGAAGCCTTTAAACTCTTTTGCACTTCAACAAGCGCGTATTCTCTTGTTTCTGCTACTTTCAGGAAAACGAGTTTTTATTTTGCGGCGTTTCAGGCGCTTTTCATAATCCACGCGGCAGCTCATTATAATTTGTATTGACGCGAGAACAGCCTCGCCAAATATAACAAGCCTCGCGAACATTATGAGTTTTTGTAGCACGGTAAATATGTTGTTTGATTGTCAATTATTATACCATGATTCTGCATGTAGCATGCAATTTCACTGCCTGAGGCGGGGAGTGTGTGCGCTGTTCATCAGTTTGGTGTATCCACTGGACTGGCGCGCAGTTCGTGCGGAGGTTTGAATCGATCGTGTGTGCCGTGTCAACAGTCGATATAATCGATTAATTCGGACACGTGGTCACCGTCGTACGGTTCAGTGTGAGATTAAAGAAAACATGTCGCGCCTGGTGACAAGAATCGAGTTGTTTTATGTAGAAAGACGTATGGATTGCCTATTTGTTAACAAAAACTCACAAATCATACGATCTGTTTGGGATTGCAAACGCTTTGGGGTGTGCAAAAAAAAAACTGTGACTGGTCCACGCGGTGCATCAAAGCGTTTGCTCAAGTGGATCTTACTCACAACTTTGTGGGTCGGATCATTCTTGCATAACTATCACTATTTCAATTCCCGATATGTAAGTAGCACGTATAAAACGAAAGAGCAGTCAAATTGCTGCACGAAAAAAATGATCTGCTACATATGGACAACTAATAATTTGCTGTATTAGCTATTTTTTCTTTGCTGCAGGAGCCAATTTCCTTGCTATGATAACAAGAAAATCTGCTCCCAACAAAAAAAGTAGCTAAAGCAGTAAATTATGTGAAGTATGTTTAGTTATCTGTAGCAAATTTGCTACGTTTCTTGCCACTTTTCTTGTTGTAGGAGCAGACTTTTTTGTTATCACAGCAAGAAAATAGGTTTTTGCAGGAAAAAAAAGTAGTTAACACAGCGAATTATATTGAATTATCCATATGTAGCAAATTAGTTTGCTGCTGCAACAAATTGTTTTTTTCCGTGTGCAGAATGTCGATCTATCCTTCGATTGCATAATTTTCTAGAGCAATCTTTACTATAAAATTCTCCCCGTGTATCTTGTTAAGAATCCCGAGATAGACGTTCGCGAAGGATTAATTCAGAGGGAGATAATCTTATTCTTGAAGTCGTTGCAGCACCGCTGGCAAGTTGCACGAATGACTACGTCGAGCTAGTCTCGAGTGCGCGTGAATGTATCCGTTTCCGTGATAATGACCAGGCGAAACGAACGGATATATCTACTTCTAATGTAAATTAGGCGCCTACTCAGGCATGCGTTTTTGCGAGTGCCGTCGAGGTGCTGAATTGATTGTCCTCGATTAGTAACGTGAGACGAACTAACGACGCGAGCTATACATATTCGCGAGCACATATTCCGGCGTCAACGCGAATCGCGATGGGCGTGAAATGGGCGGCACCCGTTGTCGCACGATGCGATCTGTCACGATTTCTCTTCCTCTTGCAGTACATCCATTACAAGACGGACCTGCCGGACATAAAGGAGTTCACCCTCTGCATGTGGATGAAATTTTACAATCACTCCAACGACCATCCCTTGTTCTCTTATGCAGGTGAGCGCGACTCGACAAACCTGTTTCTTTCTCCTTTCACCTTTTATCACGATCAGGCGGGTGTATGTGTGTGCGTACGTGTGTGTATGTGTGCGCGAATTGGACGTGAAAGCGAAAGTCTGCGACGTTTATCGCCGAAAGTATCGTACATTATCGTACCTTACGATGGCAATAAGACCGTCAAAGTCGCGTTGCGTGTATCGTGAGCCCGATTCACGAAGAACAAAATAACGAGCTTATAACATAACGAATTAGCGGTAACGAGTTGTACTTGTCTGTCGCTAAACTGATACACGTGAAAAAAGAAAAACGAATGAGTGCGTCTCTCTCTCCCTTCTTTCTCCCCTCTTTTTTCTATTTGTTACGTCGAGAACTCGTTATCAGTGTAAAAGCACCGAGTAAAACAGCTCCCTTAAATTAAACTCGCGGCGCGAGTTACGTGTTTGATTAACGAATTTTACGCCGTGCACTAATTCGCCGTTGACCTCGTTCTTGCATAATTGATATATTGTTTACCGGCGCGCAGCGACATTCGCGGATAAGCGAACAATAAACTTGCAAATGAACGGCTCGGCGGATTCAATTGTCAGCATTTACAAAAACGGACGCACGATGTCCGTGCAGAAAAATAGGGAACAACAATTGTTTGTAATGAACTCCTCTGTTCTCTGTGGAGCGCGTTGCCCGAAATTAATATAAATAATGTTTCCCGTACGCGTGCGGGGGACGACGGCGGTCGTTGTGTTCGCGCAAAGCGAAGTCGCGGCCCCCCGAAGTGGCGTTTCGCAATGAATTTCAGAAATTGCCAAAGTCGATACGCGCGACTGTAGAAGAAAATGGATCACTTACGCGACGCGTACCTGCCGTTTGCGTGTATTTATCGAGATCCTCCACAGTGATACACTTTTACAACGCGATTATTACGTAATAGCGTTTCTCTCACCCACGCAGCGCGGCACCGCGATTGTTTCGAGTAGACGCGAAATGAAGTTTCATTAGGGCGCCTCTCTCTGTGGTGAATCTAGGCCGTGTGTTTTACGCGGGATATTAAATTACACGCCGTCGCGCGCGACCATCGATTTAACCCGAGGATACGTGATCTTCGTGAACACGCGTCGCACGTGTGACGTAGTCACACGCAGTTTTATACGGCTGCGCACACACATACATACACACAATCGATTCTCATAGGCCCGTGCATTTTCCCCTTTCTTTTTTTTCGCGGATTAGCGGTTCGCTTCATAAGCAACATTTACGCGGCACGGCTGCTGCGCCCCTGATGCCGTTGTAAGAATCGATTTTGCGCCCGTGCACATTATCATTCGCGTGCAAACAATGAAGTTGTCCCGGCTGTGTTTTCAATATGCAGTTTAGAAAGGTTTCGCGCGGCTTGCGGTTTTTGTGCCGGTACAGAGCTGCACACGCAGGTTGTTCTTTTCTCTCTCTCTCTCTCTCTCTCTCTCCTTTCTTTTTTTTTTTACCGAGGTGCGCGCGAGCGTGACAATAGGTGGATATGCACGGTGTCATAAATACACCGACAATAAGTCCCTTCCCTTCGCATCCGTATGTCTAAAAACGGCTCCCGGTTTTCAGAATCAATACACCTAGCGCAAATATACCGCAGCGAACGAAATAGAATTATTTCACACGTATAGACATAAGAATGTCTTCTTTTCAAAAGGAAAAAAATTAATGTCCATTTTTTAATTTTACGGGCCTAAGATCTTATATTAATAATGCTCGTTGCTCGATTTGGTTCAAGTGAGACAGTCCGATTTTAATTTAGAGTTAGATATGACTTTTTCAGTTGAATTGCAATTACAAATAAAATATCATAAATCGTATATGATTTAAATAAAAGAAAAGCTTTGGTATAAAATTCAGATCTCAATATCTCGTGAAATTTCAAGACTATTAATACGGGCTGTTAATACGAGTCTTAATAAAGACTACTATTGCGACTGAAAACTGAAGGGCGTTGGCCCTTTTCCTCCAAAGGCCATGTAACACGCGCGATCATGTAATCTCTCTAAATTCCGTGCGCGTTACTGTAGTAATTCCACTAGTTTCACCGTCTAATAACACTGTTACTTCTATTTGCTCGAGAGAAACTCTCTCTCTCTCTCCCTCTCTCCCTCGCATACGAGCTAATTTGCACCCCTGACTTCCAGTCGGCGACCAGCCACGAGGGATATTGTCGTGGGTGGCGAACACGCCAAGAAGCTCGTACTACATGCTTAACGTCAACGGTCACAACTTGTACAGACTGAATTATCCGCTGAGACTTAACAAGTGGTACCACTCCTGCCAGAGCTGGAACGGTCGCACTGGGGAGTGGCAGATCTGGGTCAACGACGAGCGCGTAGGTCGCGGGTTCAACAACAGGGTAAGCACGACTTTATGTTGCCTTTGACCCGAACCCCCATTCTCCCTCGCGCATTCTTAGGTAAATAGATAGATACACCGCACAGAGAGCTCCAGGCTGGTGAAAAGTAAACAAGCCACGTGTGTGATTCTCCGCGATATTTGGAGCCGAGATTCCGTCAATTAAACCCATGTCGAGAGAGGCCATCGTAATTTACACGAACGAAAATGCAGATTTTGTCGATTTTGTACGATATGCTATCGAGTAAATATTCCGGAAATTGAAATCGCAACGCGTCCGTTTTAAATGGAACGAGACGAATAGCGAGATCCGCTATCTTTTATATTTTTGAGAGATTTTTAATTCGCGAATATTATCAAATATTTCGCTTAACGTTTATTTCTACCGTGGGAAGATTTGCGATTCTCAGTTGTATCGTGAAAGTCAAATCGATGAAGACGATTTTTATTCTGTCGGGAGATTGGAAAGTGGTCTCGAATCACCAAAGAATCGCTTCTTAAATCAGCAAAAGTCGCTGCTTTTGCTCCACTCCACCGTGCTGTCTCCGAAGTTTCCTCTCTGACCCACTTATGTTTACACGCGGATTAGAACTTCACCATCGAAGGGAGACCATCGAAAACACGTAACTTTAACCGCGCTCGAGGGTGGTCAATTATTCCTCATTTTCGTGGGAACGTGTCACGGACCTGCTTGTCATTACGCCACTTCGACAGACTCGTCGAACTTAGCTTGTTGCGCGGCTCCGAGAACTCGACGTGACGGGCTCATCGACATCTCCCTTGAACGATTTCGAGGTTACGACCGCCGATAATACGTAAGAAACGCCGCGGTTTCTCAGATTGCACTCCTCGTGCAGCGAATCCAGGTCGCTGCGAGGGCCGCACGAATGGTGCATTGTCCTTGGTGCTCTTAAAAAAAAAAAAAAACAATCGCGTAGACTGCGATTCGTATCGATCCGAGTCGAGGCTTACGATCGTTCCGCTAGTCGTGTGTGAACCACCGTCGCTCACATAAATTATTATAATTAAGTCCTCATTCATCACTTTTTTCTAAATTATAATGATTATAAGTATGAATATCAAAACAGGTTTTTGTGTGTGTAACATGCAAATCAGCGGTACGCGCGCGCACGCGCGCATGATATATTAGCAATCATGCATGTCTAATTATACCGCACAATCAACTCCTGATACGAACGTCAACCGCGATGAAATCACAGGTCACGTCGCGCACGGAATGCGAATGCATTACCGTGGAATCAATTAATGATTGCAAAGTGCTTCCGTTCGTATGCACTGCAAGTGATCGCGGATAAAACGAGCGGCTGACCATACGCGTAGTTTTACTACTGCAACGCGCAGAACATCCAGTCGTCACTAAAACCACTGCGGAATTGCGCGGATTGTTGTTCGTTTTTACTCGACTCCCGTGAGTATTCCCGATAAAAAAGAGAGAAAGAGAGAGAGAGAGAGAGAAGAAAAAATAAGATGCACCCACGATATTGAAATAATTTCGAAATACTGAACGTGATGCAGCTTTGAGAGATGAGAGAAGCATCTCATCGAAATGAGAAACATTATGTAATCGTTCGAAATTGTTTCCGCCGAAATGTTTACGTGTCGTGAAAGCTATTTCACGACGAAGTACGTTGCGCTGGGAAAGCTTTTCAGATAAATTTATCTTCCCCGGATAAAGAACGAGTAGCGTCTAATGTGCGCTTAATAAGAAAAAGGAATGTAAATTTTACATAAAATTACGGGTGCACGGCTAATTAAATTCTCGCGAAACAAGAACGCACTGCCGTTCTCGTGATTGCGTGTGCATCACGGTTTTATTAACATTCCGCGAGCGTCTTGGGCAAATTATACTCGTAATAAGAGACGAGAAGAAACATTCCATTCAACGGTAGGAAAAGGCCAGCTTCTTCGCACAGCCGGGAGTACCTCACAGTTACGTAAAAATTCTCCGTTGCACTCGTCTTAATTATCATTTATGTTAAACCTGCCAAGAATCTCCCGAACGTATGTGCTTCCGGTATATTCCGCACACGAGTCACGTTTGCGAATGTGTTGCGTTCAGCTGTGTCTTTCCCACGCGAAAGTCGAGTGCGCTGTCATGTCATTGCGATTTTGTTGACAGACGTGGACGCGTACTCGAAGATGTAAATAGCGATGTTAGTTGATGTGTGTATGTGTATGTGCAATACATGCACAATAAATAAACAATAAAAACTGTCGAGCGTAACTTTAGTTACCGCGGCGACTCTAAATTGGAGTGTATGTAATAAGGCAGGAGGCAGGATATAAAAAAGGAGTGGAGAGCCAAGACACGACAATTAAGCACGGGAGACACATTCGCTTTAATCGTGCAGGAGCCGTCAAGACAGTGGCTTCTCCTCTATCTAGATTGCGTCGGACAGAAACGAAATGGAAAAGAATGGCGATGGAACAGAATAAACGGGAAATGGAAAGGTATAGAATTCCATATCGCGTTATATGTATATTCTCATTCGTGCGAGGATACCAAGGTTACTTCCAAATAATGAAAAAAGACAGAAACCAATTTAAATTTCCATATAGCGTCGCCCGACTGCGGATGTGCAATCTATCCGCTGTGTGCTATATCGCGCCACGCCGCGGACAATCCGGCTTTCGTTTCTATTTACATCAGCGGCTCACATCGCTAATGTTCAGATTTTCCTCGAGTGATCGACCAAATCAGCGTTTGATCAAACCGATTGATCAATATCTAACTGCACGATTTGCCGTGACCAATTATACTGAGCAATAGTTCTTTTCAACTTCTCGCTTGCGCCGAGCACGTTCGGCGTATTTTTCGCATAATTCAAACGCCCTGATCAAGCGAAGATAACAATGAAAACTTTAGTTCATAACGGTTCTTGACAAAGGCACAGCTCGACTTTTACCCTTTAATCAGTACTGCAAGGTCGATGTGCAAGTTTAACAATGAATAAAGCATTATGTTAGGAAACAAAAAACATATTTCAAATAAGGCACTCTCTACTTTTGAAAGTTTTTAACTAAATTAAAGCGAATTCACGCGAGGAATTGTTAATAAACTATCATGACGAAGCAATAAAATAGTTTACGCGGTATGAAGTGGCTTCAACAGAGTGGTTCTCATTATGAAAATATTGATTTCAGTATAGTAGGAATATTTATGCAAAGATTTGTCAAACATAAAGACAATATTAACTTTGCCGTGCATTTTCAAGATTGTTACTAATGGAACATTTTGTTTACTACACTTGAATTCAGCAAGTTAAAATTAGTAAGAGTGATTTTATCTTTGACACAAAATGGCCGTTAATTAGTGTTATCAGGGCGATAATCCATTATCGCGGAATATTTCCCAGATTTTTTCGCGAATACGTCATGCAAGGAATACATTGCTGTTGGTGATTTCAGTTGGTCGGGCACGTTATCAAAGGCGGCGGAATTGCTATTTCGGGACAAGAACAACGACAGCTGGGCGGCGGTTTCTTGGAGGGTGATGGCGCACCACCGGGTAAGAAATTTCCTTTTTTTTCCCTCGTTATATCGATAACTTCTGAAAATATTGGATCGAGTCATAAGTAACTTCCGATGAAGATAGTAAATGTTTGTTCCTCCCGTATATTCGCGGAGAAAGTCGATAAGCTGCCTCTCGGTTGGGAACATGCGTCCTATTAATAATGACGGGTATATACCTCTGGAGTAGACTCTGTTGTAAAAATATTTGACACGAAAATAAATTTAGAGAGAGAAGAGAAATTCGAGTTATTTATAACTCGATTCGATAAACCGAACAATACCATCATCGTTTCGATACTCAGATCGAAATTTTTTTGCTCTGCTTTAATCCTGCAAATACTGTCGGACTTGAAGGATCAACAGAGAATCTCGAGATGTAACACTAGACAACCTAATGTCTTACAAATGTACATGTCTCGATGTTACAAATGATTGCTGGTGTTTTCTCTGTGTGTATGTGTTGTCGAAATTTCGACATAGAACTCGGACATTTCAAAAGAATAAGAAAAAGAGGCTAAAAAATTGCGACTGTACGCACAAACGAGGATTTAAATTTGGCTTCAACAACAACAGCACAACAACAAGTCTAAACATATATCAAAAAAGAGTTGTTAAATTTAAAATGAAACTCGCGTCCGAAGGAACATTATTACAGAAACCTCAGCATTTTGCAGTTGTCAATTATTTACGATCTTTGATTGAAAACATAATTACAGATTCATGCACGTAGACTGTTATTCAGTTATTTTGATCGGTATTTCAGATAGTATGAAATAAATATTACGAACTAACCGATGATCAGATCAGACATTCATGAAGTTATGATTATTTATCAAGCGATTATAGACTACGAGTGCCGATCTTTTAGATTCTAAATTTCGACTCGGGATATCTCCTTATTCTCAATGAGTTCGTCGAACATTAAAATCGAGAACATTCGGCGTAATAAGGAATTTAACACACCTTGAGATATATCGCTGCCGGCGTCTTACCTTCCCAATCCAGCATCCTGTTCCTGGCTGCTTCGTGGTACTAGACACTCACTCACTGACACTCGCGTATTTACGATTCGATCGGAGAAACGTGTGTTAACCACTCAATATCTCAGGAGAAAGTCGGTGAAATAATTCAATCTTCTGACGAAATTGTAAACAAGCCGACACGCGTATGTGTGCGTACGTGTGCGGCTCGAGACGTTATGACTCGCTTATGGCAAAGTATACAAGGTACGAGAGTATGAAAACAATGGATATCTTCGAAAAAAAGTCACCCCACCAATTGCGTTTCGTCGCTGCCAGCCAATCAATGACGAGCACATTTGGTGGCCGGAAAATCATGACAATTAACGATCTCGATTTGAGTATGATTATTAGTTAACATCGCGTTTTCGATCGATTCATATTGTATGATATTATTGAGCGCCTGACCACGATGATGACCAGGAACTGACTCTAGGATGAATTGCAGGACGCAGGAAATAGCGACAATTGGCGACAAGCCATGCAACTGTCTTTTCATTTCGAACATCAAATAATTCTTAATCCTTTAAAGCACAGTGGTTTTACTGTGAGATCACCTATTAGAAACAAATCATAACTTCAGGCATACTGATCTTGCAACAAAACTACTGTACACAGTGATGCACTCTATTGGTTTTTTGGGATTACTCGTAGTATTCGCTTCAGTTTGTACGTTTATTCTGTAAAAATAGGAAAACAGAAAAAAATTAATTAAAAAAAAGATGTTTTGGGGATTGTCATTCTGAATATGTGACAAGAATATTTCATTAGAATCCAAATTTTGAAGATCCTGTGCTTCAAAGGGTTAAATAAGTATTTCTGTAAGTCTCAACGAGACGGTGGTACGCAATCACTTGTGGCGTTAAGAAACAATAGCCCGTACAGCGTTTCATCTCGAGGTTTTCCATCAGCTCACCGAGTTGAGCTGGCTTCATTTTGTAGAGTTAATCTAGAACGAAAATTTCGTTCAGCTCGGATAAACAATCGAGATACGAGATGACAATGACATGTAATTCCTCTTCCAGGCTCTGGTGGCTATTTGGGAGAACTGACAATGGTGCAGCTATATAATGTCGCCCTGACCGCGGGGAAGGCGCACAAAGATCACAAGCACCATCACGCCCATCATTACGAACACGATACGAGTAATAATATACCGAGGACCACCATGCGCGCGCCCGTAACCGGACCACCTTTACTGCCGCATCCCTTCCTCACCGGGGGACAGATCAATACACAAGTATAATCACGTTTGCTCACTTGGTCGCAGCCGGGAGAGCACGCGGGTGCCGTGTCATCGGGCTAATTACTTTCGCTCTCTGAGCCTCAATTAGCGACACCGTAAACAACTCGCGGGACCGCGAGTGGGCGAGTTTGAAAGACGTCTGGAGAACGCTCAAGGTGTCAGAGAGTCTTGTGGGCGTCTTTAATGCGTCCCTCGTACGCGGTGTTCTCCAGACGCCTTTGCGGCGCCTTTCCCGCGGACGCGTGTCTTATTCGGGACGTCTCTCTCTCCGTTCGACATGCTCTCCCTACTCACGTACCGCCGCGTTCAAATTGATCGTGAATATTTCATGCGCGCGGCCGATGTTCCAGGTGAAGATCAATCCGGGAGCGCCGATTCAGATCGTACAAAACGGCGTAACCATCCGTCATCCCGCATTACCACCGGTGCCGGAATCGCCCCCGCAACCGCTTCCGCCCCTGAATCTCGATGCTCTCTCGACGTCGTATCCCGGGCTGCCGTCGCAATTCTTCGGTAATCCGGTACAGCAGCAGTTATCAACCGCCACTAGACCGTCGTCGTTCATCCCGGACGGGACCTATCACAATCTCTTCAAGAGAGAGAAAAACGAGTCGAAGCGACGGATCCTCAAGGACGAGACAGTGGTGTCGAGTTTGATCAAATCCGAGAAATCCGTCGCGAAGAGGGATGTCGAGCAAACTTCTAGTAGCTCCGACGGCAAGGTAAGAGAAATCGAGTCGGATCAACTTGATTTACATTCGTCTTATCTGGGAGCGAATGGCGTTCAAGTATTTGAAAATTCTTACAAAGTACACGCGAACCAAAAGAATATATTCGAGATATCTTACTTCCAAAACGTGAACTCTGGTAGTATAGTGTTGTTTACTATAATCCTATATTCCGAGCGACAACTTTTACCGTTTTTTTCTAATCAAGTGGATTATACTGATCGGAAATTTACTAGATATTATTCTAATTTTTTGTCCCTTCTGAATCGAGAGTATATATTTATACGAAGCAGAATTTTTGTTTCTCGGAATGTTACGTTAGGTTGAGACGAAATCCCTTTAAATACTATTTTCTTGCTCTTAAAATATTCACCTCTTGGTTTTAGAACAATCCTCTTGAGGTTATACATAAGAGGATTCCGCTAAGGATGAGATTATGTTTTTCTGAGTATAACATGTTTAATAAGACTAACTAAAACCGTTTAACCGTCTCCATAAATCGCTGTATTTTTTTGTGATATTATGAAGAAGGCTTAATTTATTTATGGATATAGAATGGGAGAAAAATGATCACTGCTATACACATATGTGTGTGACGTCGATTTCTCGTGGAAGATCGTTGCGTCAGAAATGTGTGACGCTCGTGGCGAACGTGTTAAGAAATTCTTATGAAACATTTAGTTTATTTTATATTATAATATTTTTCTTCTGCAGCGCGTTATTTTATGATTTGACGATAGAAAGGAACAAACATTTCATGCTAATTTACCCACACTGAATATCTTTCCCCATTTAAATTTTGCAAAGTATTAGTACTTTAACTATACGTGTACGTTCCCCAAGTAATTTGAGGAGCTTTCTTCTCCTTGCAAACGTTAAATTTTAAGTCCCTTCAGTTTCCGACCTACTTAACGTAGGAAATTAAAAGATTACGCGGCGAATCAGAGTGGAAATAATATCAGCGCGAGTGCGCTCGACTTGCTCGCACGTAAGGACTCTCAGACTTTTCATTACACCGCGCCGAGAGAAGAAGAAGAATTCGCGGCGCAACGAGATAATCGTGTTTCCCAGTTTTTCAATTTTCCACATTCTCCAGTCTTTGCGTCCTCACGAAGATCATCAACGTGACTAAAAGTCCGCACTACTTTGATTACACAAGCTCTTAGCTTCCCGCGTTCAACTAAGCATTTGATTAAAATCTTCAGAAAGTCTTAAGAAAGTCTTCGCCGAAAATTACCGCGGGAATCAAGTTTTACTACCATAAATCATTGATTACTTGCACGGTTCATCATTCGCGTTTGCGACTGCTTCACATGTCGTTTCTCGAATTCCCAGGTGTCTTTTGTCCCGAGATCGGAGGCCGAGGATGAGAAGAAACTGGAGAAACGCGAGTCCGATAAGAAGAAGAGAGGACTGTTGCAATTAGGCGACGGATCGATCTACGACGACGAATACTCCATCCCTCAAGGCTTGGACAACGATTACTTCACGGGACTGGCGAGCTACGGGTTGCACCTGACCAAGGGAACGGACGAGGAGAACGAACGCGAGCCCGCCGAGGCCGAGGTCAGGCAAGTGATGGACATGTGCGACGGTTGCGCCGAAGAGCCATTCGAGAAGGCGTTGGTCTTGGCCTGGAGATCGGTGCCCAAGAAGCTGTATTCCGGCGCGTTGTTCTTGCCAGCGATACCAGTGTGCAAAGCGTTTTAAGGCACCGGCCGGAAGACACGCGACGAATCAAGGACGTCGCGCGAATTCCCAGGGAACTCGTCGGTGGACATGCATTCCGCCTCGAGAAAATCAAGCGTCGAAATTCAGAAATCGAGACACTTTCCGAGAAGCCATAAAGTAAAAATACCGATGCCTGGACGCTAACAACACTGGTTATTCTTATAACCACTAACTCTGGACATTCTTATAAGTTTTGGCTTTTAGATACGAATATTTAATCCTTATAGTGTCGAACAATGATATATTGTTGTTCGCAACACTTGCGAAAAGTGCCATCGATATATCGTTGCGCATACGATGCTGCCGGACTAATTTTATAAGACGTTATAAATGGTTGAATTTCTCTTGAGAAATTTTTCTCAAACCCTATCAAACTACATCAATTTGGTCCGGTATTTTAAGCTTAGGTACATTTTCGGTCGGCACTAAAAGCGTTAAAATTTTCAAAATACAGGATATATACATGTACATACATTCTATATTGAAAGTTTAAATATCTGAGTTTGTAAGAACCAAAACAATAGGAATGTTCAGTTAGGCAGCGGTGTTATTAGTATCCACAGAGATATCGGTACTTTTATCTTTTAATACCGAGATTTAAGGATAACGTTTTCCCCGCAGTGCACAATTGTTCCGAGGAGAAGAACTGTTACACCAAACATAGTAGACAAGTGTGTAGATATTTATCCATTTAGGTGCTCTTGTTGTACTTAAGTTCCACTCAAATGAGCTTCTTCGGGGAGTTGTCCCACTTTTTAACTCCCGGCGCACATTTTCTCGGGACAATGGATGTTCATCAGTTCGTCCACCGTCCGCGAAAGACGGTTGACCGCGCGGGCGACAACGATCGACGGAAGATCGACGATCTCTCGAGAGTGAAACCTTCCCAGGTATCCCACGCCATGTTTCAATCGCTGTGTATCTTTTAGTTGTTACGAACGGAGACGTTTGTACGAACGAGGCTGGTATGACGCGCGGTGAAAATGATCCGTATATGAAAATAAGATTTATTTAATTAGTGGCGATTTTCGATCGTGTAGCTCTCTCTCTCTCTCTCTCTCTCTCTCTCTTACCGGGCGAAATATTTTCGTTATTTCGTCGGCGCAGCATAGGACAGTATTATTTCGTAAAGTATCGGCGGAAACCGATCAGGAATGACGACGATCGCTCTGTCAACGAGACACTCGACGCGGTTCCAAGATACGTGTTGATCGATCGACTTCGGCGACACGGAGGGAAACTCAATTGCGCAGCGAGGAAAACCGCCTCGACCGATCTTAGCAAAACGTGCGTCTTGGTAAGCTCAAGACTTAGTTATAGTGACATTATTTCTTCTCTTTTGCGTAAGTGTAATGTATACCGAATAAATTTGTACGAATCGTTGCGGCGTGCGTCTGTTTAATTGACCCGATCGATGAAACACGGAGGAATGTTCTTACAGAAGCGTGCGCAATTGCGTTAGTACACGCGGACATTGTGTCACCCTTCTCATCGAGTAGATTCGATCTCGCTTCTTAAGAAGGAGAACGTGAAAGTGTCGGGCTAAGGATGGAATCTCGTTAACGCGCACTTACCTTGCTCTTGTGAATATGCTGATGCTGATATTCGCTGTCGAATTCCGGCTCGCTGAAGTAGCTCTGATCTTCCCAATGGGGCGGCAGGCCACCCCCGCCGCCTGGCACCCCCAAAGGTCCGGGCATTCCTGTCACTCCGTCGGCGCTCTCAAAAAGTCTCAGGACACTGCGATCCTTGATGTCCCTCAAGTGCGATCTGGAAGCCGAAACGATTGTTCTCCCGTTAAACCGCGACTTTATATTGTGCATATTGTAGGAATAACGATCGTTTCTGATCACTTTATGTGTCTAAGGTTAAATCGAACTCTACTCGATCGTTAAGATAAGATTTATTTGTATGTCCGCGGATGACTCGGGAATCTTACCTCTCATCCTCGAGTTCGTAAAACATGTCCTTGTTGCTGTCGTGTATGTAAACTTTCACGTGAGGACTGTCCAGGTATTCCATAGTTAGTTGCTTTGGGAAACTTCTGACGAAAAGAGCCTTGACAGTGTCTATACTGGTAATCTCATTTGGTAGCAACGCCCTCTTCGTCTCGTTCCTGTACTGCAGGAACACCAGTCCTAGGGGTCGCGTAACAAAACCAGAAAAAGTACATCGGTCTGTCGATAAAATCGAGCAACGTGTTGCGAATATGTCGACACACAGAAGGGATTATTTTTTTTTTAAACCGATACCGAACTGTCGCGTCGTTATAAACGCATCCTTCTGCTCGGATCGATCGATGTTTTTAGCCCATTTTTGTAGCGACAGGATCGTGTCGAGAAGAGGCATGTGCTACAGATGATGCGTATGTAACGGCATCGTAATAATCTCGCAATAATATTGACTGCTTCATCTGCTCGATGCAGCGAATGATGCGTTTATTGGTATCTACGTTCGCACTGAATTAATATAACTGTACTTCGCGAATTACCTAGTGGTCGCTCCAGAGTTTTGCTGGGCGTTCGCACGACGGGCAAGCTGCTCCTCTGCTTGCCACCTCGTCGAAATCCAGTGCTGGAGGTTTCCACTTCGGACATGATGCCCGGGTCGTCATCGAAGAGCATCGCCGAAGGGGGCGGATAGCCGCGCGGAAGAGGCGACTGAAAGCATATCGACTCGGTGAGCTTCCGACGCTTCCCAGGCTTTTCGAGAGTGCTTTTTTCTTCTTTTTTATCGTGTCGTGAATCGCTATCGGATGGTGTTCTTGTAAGAGAGACTCGAGCGAGTTACTTGACGCGTTTAGAAACGACGCTTATTTTCGCGCAATTTTCCAGTTGAACAAAACAATACGAATTGATTATCAAAAATTAATTCTTCGCAAATATATTTCTTTTATCGACAAACACGGCAAAATTGCAATTTTTTGTACAAATCAAGTATGGAATTGCATGGAACACAGGAGCACTCTTACACATTACTACGCGACAGATCTCAGCGCATTTAACACGCAAGAGAAGTTGCGAGTACGAATGAAAGTGTAGCGTTAAAAAATTGAATCATACATCAAAGCGATAGCTTTCTCCCGACAGCTTGAACAATAAGTTCCTTCGGATTAATAAGAAATCGCTTTCTCGTTGCCACTTGTCTCTCGATACGTGCAATTCTGCCGGACAGAAATTTCATCGCATGGCTCTGTGAACATACTCACGACATTTTTACAGCGGACAATTGGAAACACGGTGTAGGATCGAGGGTTAAATGTCACTCGGAGAGAAAACGATCGCACAACCGTGTCAGCATGCCGACATGCACGTCGACGAGAAAGAATCGATCGGCAGGCTTGCGACTTGCGTGTGTGTGTGTCAGAAGCTTGGAAAATCGAAAAATTACCTTTCTCTGGCGAGACTTGGTCCCCATCTGTCGTCGCGGTGCGGCAGGTGACACACGGAAACACACACACAAAATAAAAACCAGTTAGATGTGTGATACGTGGAGTAGAAAATGACGAGGCAAGAGAAAAAGGGGAGAGAGAGAGAGAGAGGGAGAGAGAGTTAAAAAACGAAACACAGAGAACGACAATTCGCCGGAAACGATCGTGTTTCGAAGGGAGCTGCGGGTCTATGTTACGTTGTATCGTTGACGATCGAACCGTTCTCTCTCCTGTTGACAGATCGGTCGAATAACTCGGACGTAATTGCGGCTGCTTGAATGCTACATAGGCGTCAATTTCCTGCTCGTAATAGAAATGCGTTCCGCGAACGGTTTTTCGGCCGCTCAAGGGGCGTTAAGGCGCGCGTTTATAGTAATTCAATTGTTACCTCTAGCGTAACGCAATTGCGCTTCGCAAATCGTAGTGATCCTTAGAACAAGAACGTCAATATCCTCTTTTTCTTCGCGACGATGATTCACGATAAGTGAGACTCGAGGTCGTTACACGATTCGAGGTACAACAAAGGATAATGACAGGCATGCATGAGGAACGCAAAGAGACACGGAGTGCCTCTCGTTGAACGTACTTCCCGCACTGCGGATATAAGTAATTCGGATCGTTTCTCATCCCATACACGGTCTCTCTCTCTCTCTCTCTCTCTCTCTTTCTCTCATCCAAGGGTGATTGTAAAAAAAAGAAAAAATATCGGTTAGGGGAACCGCGGTTGGGAGTGTAGAACCTTCTTCGCGTCTTTGACATGTTATTATACCGTGCCAGACGTATCGTTTTCGCGCAGATAAAGATTGCGTGGTCTCGGCACACTCATAATATGCAACGTGTATACATGTAAAACTCACGTTCGAGAACGTTGTACGCGTTGTAAATATCTCGCAACGATGTTGGTAACGCTCAAAGATAAGAGATAAAAGGCACACACAGGTAGAGAAGACAAGAGCAAAAAGAAAGAAAAGGGGGAAAAAGAAGAAAAGCAGGAAGAGCGGCGAAGGGAGAAAAACCGAGAGCGGATTACACGTGAATGCCTAACTGTAACGAAGGGTTAGGGTCGTTGTATGCCACACGAGAAAGAGAGAAAAAGAGAGAAGAGGAGAGAGAGAGAGAGAGAGAGAGAGAGAGAAATGGAGGGATGGGAGATAGAAATATACACAGTGTAGAGTGCGGCGAGCGATGGCCGGACTCGCCGGCTTTTATCACGAACGTGTATGAACATGTACGACTACTGGACTCTTCGACTGACTCGTGTATGCAACATTATGACGTTGGTAAGTGACGTTCCTATTCGACGAGTAAAATGGTCACGCGAGCAGTGCAATTTGTGCGATGTATACTTCGTATATTACGAAATTTTTTCATCTGTATCCTTTTCTCAAGCGCGTTAATTCCGGCCGATCCGCTTGCATTCGCGACTCGTCGATTCAAGATAGTAAAAAGCACCAGTGTCTGAATACGTATCCAACTCTGAGCACTCTTGCTGTTTTAATCTTTCGATTTTTAATATAGAGGATACGTGTACACATACGTTGAATATATGCATGCAACTTATATCGAAAATTTAAATATTCACATTTGAGGAACAATGAGAACAAAATCCAAGCGTTAACGAATATTTGGGATTATCCGATCGAGTTGATCTGTTTGTTAATTTTCCATTGCACCGTGGACTCTTTCTGTGTCTTTCTCTCTCAGTGAATGTTCAAGATTAGATTCACGTTTAAATATTGGTGCTTTGGTTTTGTAGTACTGAATTTTTATATCGTTTCACGAAGTATGACAATTGAATATTGTAATAACACTAGCCTAGCGTAGTATACTCTGTGTGTGAAATAGGAAAGTGCGTCCGTGAGATATTATAAAAAAGCTTGTCTAGCAAGTGTGAGCACCGGATGGCATTGGTATAGCCGATCGTACAGGGTTTATATAGATGCGTTGTTTTAGTTGTTTTTACATTGTTGGCAGTTTGCTCTCTCTCTCTCTCTCTCTCTCTCTCTCCCTTTCTCTCTGCGGAATCGTTCGCAGGAGCGATTCCCGTAATTGTTTCGGGCAGCGTAATTTCGTGGTCCAGAGCACAATTCTGTTTTTCACATAGCTACGTCGTGTCGTATCGCGGCAGGATGGAGCGTGAGCCAAGCCGAGCGTCAATTAACGGAGTTGCTGGACGCGATGACGTAACGGCCATATCCGCTATCTCTCGAGTGTGCACCACCTGCGCGCTACGTTCGATTATCTCCTACAAACCACGAAGACACCCCCGGAGGATGTTCAATAACCACGTGCCGGAGGCCGGCTAATCGATCGCCCGACATCCGTCCGACACGAGTCCCGCGATCTTTGGATCTCGCGAGCACGATGCGCCGAGCGAGATCCAATAACGCTAATAATATTGCTAAGGGCAATCGCGAGGACACGTTTGTTTCCATTCGTTCCTTTCGTACCCGATGTGTCTTCGAGATGTTACGAGTTTTCTTTGCCTCGCGAAATTCAGAGATTCGTGGAAGACACTCGTCACGACGGTAAATCTCTCGCACCTGAGCGCGCTAAAATAAGTGGGAAGATGAGAAAAAATTATAATTAACAGCGGCTTTTGGGCCGCATTATTGGTAAAAATTTGAACATCTGGGTAATTAAAGGATAAAAAAGTGAGCTCGAAATCTGGGAAGGTGGTAAAAACAGAATCATGCGGATACGTTTACGTGCGGTGTGTCGGTACACTTCAATTACCGCAAGAAACGAGGACGTCGTAGGTGGATGGTAATTAATTAAGCGCTTCCTCTCATTACCGGGCGGTTCTTGACCGCGTAATGTCCGCCGGTACTCCGATAATATTTTCTTCATACTTGCATTCGAAGCGCGCGATGAGTCCATCGCATTAAAACGGGGAAAGACAAAAAGGGAATGATCGATCGCGTAAGACGATAACTGGCCGGCGTTAAAGTAGCTTCTTCAGTCGATATATGCATATAGGTAGATCCGCGCTCTTCTCATTCGCTGAAATAACAGCCATATTTTGCCGTTTCACGCGCAAGACTCTGAAGGGGAGAAAGTATCCCGTATAAAGAGCGGAGATCAATTTTAGTTATACTCGATAATACATCGTGCGACTTTCTGGCCGATCGCGTAAAGATGTGAACGTTGTATAATTTATCAGAAAGTATATTTTCTCGCAGAGTAAACAACGCGTGGCGCACTTTCCTCTGGGACAGGGGGGAGAAGAAGAAGAATACGAGACGATGGACAAACAATGGGGTGTACGCATTTGCGTGTTCCGCAAATAAACGGTGACCCTCACTGGCGTAGCGCGCTGCAACGGGCAGGCGTGTGCCGGTTTCTTCAATGAAAGATCGTTGAAACGAACAAGTACGCGCTGCTGTACCGTCTCTCGTCGATGTGAAAACAGTCCTCCTTCTCGCGGCGTATACGATACGCGCCATCACGTTGTCGTGAAATAACGTCGGGCAGCTGAACACTTCCCACCGTCTTGTTACAAAAGAAATCTCGCTTTGGTTATCAAAATTATTCCAGCCGAATAATACATACCAATATGAATTTTATATGTGCTCGCGAATTGAAAAATTGGACGGGCGCGATTTTGCCCTTTGAGCTTCTTCCTTTCTCGCTACAAGGGGATAAACGGGCGACATTTTAATTCAGCGTATCGTTCTCCGAAAGTGCAACTGCGTGCTGTGAATGTCGCGCATTCGCTCGCACACGTGGCCAGTCTGATTTACAGCGGCACGTTGAGAAACGTCAGTGAAACTTGAAGAGCTGCCGATAACGTCGGTGCACTCGAGTGTCATTTTTACACGCGTCACGTCCGAATAGTCGAGAATGTGAGGGACAATGGAGATGACGATGAAACGTAACGTAACGTCGAGACGTGCACTAAACCGATATTAAATCGCACGAGTGAGAATAGATACCTTGCATTACGATCCTGAAGAAATGATATAAATGTTATTCATGAGATAACAAAATTCAGTGTTTGACATTCGCCTCGAAGAAGCCGCCGAATCGAAGCATTGTGTTTTGAAACTGTAGAAAATTTTTGTCGCGAGAGGAGAACTGGAATGTCAAATGTACTCACGAGTATATTCATTTTCACGAAAGATCGAACAACGGTATCGATCATCAGCGTGTAGTAGGGGAAGTGTTCAGTCACCCCATCAAAAACCGAGCGACCCTAAATATCGACGTGGAGGGTGGATGCCATCTTCCCTCGACACACGCGGGGGCTCGAGAACGCAGATAAATTTATTTTACCTTGGGATATAAACCCCTTTAGGGCACACCGTGGAAAAGGTTATAGATTTTCTTTAACTGATGCGTGAGGTGGAATACAAATTGAACGAGAGGCAGGAGTTAACATTACAACCAGAAACAAATGAACAAACGAGGATCTTGGAAGAGCAGAGGGGCCGACGTTCATTTCTTTAGTTCGCAATTACAGAAGAACGTCTTTAAATCACATTATCTGCACCGTTAAATTAATATTATTGCGACTGTCGAACGAAATATACACGGTCGAACTCTCGGAAAAATTTTACCTTGAAGACGTGTCTACAAACACATCCGTTTCTACAGTTAAAAACTGACAGACTACACACCGCCCTTTATTCTTCCAAGACAGAGGAATTACAGATAGACATAAAGATGAATTTAAAACAATAGAAAAATAGAAAAATTACAGAGATTCCTCCCTCACAGTCACATGAAACAAGAGGAGTCTCGTACGCCGAGTTTTAACTTGTCGAGACTCTGCCGTATATACCGTATAGAGAGAAAATATGAAAAATAGAGGCATGGAAGAAAGGAGCGCGATGCGTCATCGCGCACGATGTTGTAAGAGAGATAGAGAGATCATCGCAAACAATAAGTGGTATGTATTTACATGTTGCGCGAGCAAAGATTCACCTCGAGATCCATGGTGGTGTGCCGCGAGGGCGGGGTGCCGTATTGGCCGTGTGGTGGCGGCAAATGATGTGGGTGAAGGGGATGCAGCTGCTGCGCCGCGTTGAACTGCTGATGATGAAGGGAGGGCTGATGATCGCCGCCGAGGGTGTGCCTCCTCGGCTCGTCCCTCGAGCGACCACCACCCCCGGTGGAGCCTCGGCTCCCCGAGCCACCCCCGCCTCCGACACCGACCCCCAAGACGCCGCCGCCAGCCCGTCTGCCAGGTGTGAGCTCGTTCGAGCCGGGTTCAACCTCCCCCCTGATGGATCCACCTGTAATCATAAGTGTTTCCTGTTAGTGACGTCGTTACCAGCTAGCGACGTTCGAGCGAGCGCTTCCGGCGTTCGAGAGACGATCAGATTTGGGAGACTTTATAAAGTGGATCGATTCGGACACGACGATGTTGGTTGAAAATGAAAAGGCATCGCTCTCTATTTCCTAGACTAAAAGGACTGCACTGAGAGAAAAAGAATGATCTGACTGGAGTCACAGTCATTTTTGGTCCCAACCAAATGTTCTAACACGGAAATGGTAGTAATAACATGCAGATAAGGTTATCAGTACTCTAACATTACAGTAGAATTTAATAGGAACAATGCCTGACCATAATTCATAGTAATTATTTCTTTATATAATTATAACCGCAAATACCACAGATTTTTTTTAAGTAATTAAAAACACTCCGTTGTCTCTCCAGAGAGGTCTTGATTATTCTGGACGAGATTGACTTTCGTTAGGAAAACTACGCTCATTGCTGTTAACTTGGCGTCCGGCGAAACTCGGATAAGTAAACTAAAGTTCTCGCGCAAACTTTTCCGAAAGAAGTACGGTTCACGAGGAACATACGAGAGAAAGTCTCGCGTACGCAGAGGGCGAGAGACGAGGAGAGAAAGAGAGAAGAGCTTTCCGCGAACTATTAATAAACGGCCCCGATGAGGAATCGAAGTAAATAGCTTGCCGACCAAGCGACCTATTTGGCAGAAAATGGTCTCGCGACAAAGTGGACCGAGAATAACGCGTTCGCGGAAGTGGCCGGAAATAGTTGCCGACACGAACACGTGCGTGAGTATATATGTGCGGGGAAGGAGAAGGGAGGGAGGGGAGAGAAAGAGAGAGAACGCGAACGTGTTCTCGCTTACTTATTTCCCACATCGAGCGACGAGGAAAGTCGAGGCGACCGGTCGGAGAAAGCAAGGTTAAGTAATAGCGTCTGGTTACCCGAAATAGTCGAGAACACGAGATAGACAATCCTCGCTTCCCTCGCCCGACGTTTATTTTCTTTCGCTCGGCCGTGCGTGATTTTGCTTTATGCTCGACGGCATAATTGTTTAAACAGTCGACACAATTGGTATTGCATGTAACACAATACAATGAACGAGAGATCGCCTTGCCTCTCTCGTTTTGGATACGAGTGAGTGAATGTGTTCCCGAATGTCTAAGCGATCGCGAAAAGTAAGGGGATGTCGTGAAGTGTTAGAGGGCTAAGGTGTGTTAAAACTTTCAACTGGTTCTGGAGCTCTGATGACACTTGAGTCGCCGTGGAGAGCTTCGTCCGCTTCATTCCACTTCGAGCTCATGAAAACATCCTCAACTGTTCCGAAATTATTTTCAATTGTGTCTCGCGCAGATAATTATATCCGGGAACTTGAGTTAGACTCGTTTCGTCCCGTAATTCGCGGAGTTTGTTTTCCCAATTACAACGACGTAATTGCGTTAAACGCGGCTAATTTTGAGCTCGTCCCTTCTCGTCTCAGGCACAGGTTTATTTGGCACGTCGGCTAGAAGTAACGCGACGTGATAGACGGGGATTAACAATTTTCTCGCATGCACGACGAAACTCGGCGGATTTATAGCACCGTGCGACGGGTCATTGTCACGGACGCAACAATCTTCGAGTGAGCGTGCGACGGGCTCGTCGAGAACGTGCAACACACCGCGAACATACCCTCCCTGTCCTCTCCCGTCCTCACTCGGATTACAAAAGCGTCGCGCCACCTCGTTTACCCGCGCGCTATTCCCGGCTTAATCAAATACAAACTCGCTGATGAATACCGGTGGCCGTTTTCTCCAAACGAACGAACGTATTTCCCGGGTCACAATCAATCCTCCAACGAAAAGCCGGCGTGCGTTGCTCCAGCGCCAGCTGTGGGCCATAAGGACGCGGGAAAACTTCCGCGGCGGCTCGAGCGGAAACGCCAACGGAAGCACGGGGAAAATGGGTCAACCGGAGTAGCGAACCACAACAGACAGAGAGAGAGAGAGAGAGAGAGAGAGAGAGAGAGAGAGAGAGAGAGAGAGAGGGGGGGGGAGAGCACTGGACAGCGTTGTTCTCCAATTAATGACGAGATTCGAATTCCAGCGCACCTACGAAGCTACCAACGCGATCCGACGATCATCGCGGTGCCATACCTCACGTGGGTGACCAAACGTTGTGCATTTCTCGGCGCAGCGCGGCGGCCGTTCCGCACAAACGTCAAATCGCTCCAGCCGGCAGGTGCACGTCGTAAAGCTGCCACACTAACGTGGCTCGGTGACACCGCGGAACATTTTCGAGGGGCTCGCGCACCGCACGTCAGTAATCTGGTACGGGTGTAATTCCGCGCGCGAAGGGCACAGAGGAACACGAGAGAGTCTTCTTCTCAGGCAGTCTCCCCGAAAGCCCGGACAATCACGACTGAGGTAAGCACCAAGCACCAGCCGGACACATATCTAACTCTAGGCATTCTTATCGCTTTGGTCTTCAATCTTTACAATACGATTACTATAGTGGCGCAGGAAAAGAGTCTCACGTTTTTTATCGATCTACTCTTTGATATGTATAAGTAAGTTCTAGTTCAAAATAAAAGTCGTTTGAAAACTGACTCAAGTACGAATGTTCAAAGGCAAAAACAGTAAGAATGTGTCTCTAGATGCGCATCCGGGCACACACATTGGTACTTTCACATTACATCTGATTTCCCAGAGGGAAATAATTCGAGATATGAACTTGCATTTAATAAGTTTACGTCAGACACACGCGGTGAGCTCGCGTGTAAGATATTTCGCAGAGTAATGTAGAATTGCAGATAAAGCCGGACTGTTACATTTTCTCGTACGATATGAAGGAGTTCCGACTAGCCACGGCAATCTTACGTCGATAACCCACAAGTATAATAATTAATAACGATATTGTCCGTGGAAGAGCGATGAAATTTTGACAAAGATCTCCGTCATAGTTATTCAGTTCACCTTCTGCCCTTTCGTTACTACAATGCCGAGCTATGGCGTAACATCGTAAATTGTAAGACGACGGTAGATTCATTGACTGTTAAGATAACTCGGTGAACAGAACGCTCGACGAAATTTGGCTGCAGGTAATATCGAGGTACGTGTGCATTTTGCAACAGTAAAGCTGCGCAAGTTTCTGGGGTAAGGGGAAGTTCATGCTCCATGACTCGACGACTGTAATTGACGACGTGGGTAAACTATACTTCGGCAAACTGCTTTGCAATACTAACAAGCGTCTGACACAAAGGCAAAACGTGCAATTTCAGTTAGACGCTGGGAGACAATTATTCACGAAGCGAAAGATCGCGTTTCGATTTTATCGCTTCGATCAACTCCATTTATTCCACCAAAGTATCAGCAGAAATGAGAATCATTTTCATGTATCTTTCACAACGAAAGCATGATGAATTTTCGTCATAAATACTAAATCGAAGATAATAGGTAATCTGATTGTGCCAACTAAGTTCATTAGCAAAATATAATACAATTAGTTATGTGATCGCTGCAACTATAGAGTAATTGCTGAGTTACAGCGGCGATATCTGGTTACTCCAACTATGTGTCCATAGCAAATATCACCGCAGTCGATTTCTGTAAGCCGATTCTATAACTTTTAACGACAGTGTTGTTATCGCTGTTACGTAGTTGCATAGGTCGAAAAGCTGCGTAACGATGTTAATTGCGCTAGCGACATCGTCATTATAAAGTTGGAGAATCGGCCTACTGGCTGCAGACAACCAGATCGCTCCCAACCATATTGATGCAATTAACGTACCAAAGTAACTGACTCATGTCTATCTCATGCGCGTTACTATCAGACGAAGATAACTAGACTGACGTAACTATGTCGCTCATAACTAAATATTTCAGGGTATGTGCGCCATATCTCTTCTTGTCGCGTAGGCTTTTTTGTATTTGGTTTCAGCTTTGATCAGTCATCCTTGAGATTCAATCAACTTAGGATAACTAAATCCCCACGCGTTTTCCTCCACGGACTTCTCTTATAGCTTGCCACTTTGTGCCTAACGACGTAATATTACCCGCCCGCAGATACGACACGTGTCCGGAATTAACGCCTATTAAAACGTCATCTGTCAGTCTGATCGACGCTGCTCTGAAATGGGAGCGTAAATAGATCGGTGAATCCAGAATGAAAAATCATTATCTGAGAGATGCGGGCGCGTCCGCTCAGATTCGTGAACGAGTAGAGGCGGACGTGTAATTGCGGCAAAAGGTAGTAGAATAAGTATTCTCTTATGGCGTATCAAATCGGCGGATTATCCCGATTTTTCTAATTAACGGATTCAATCACGTTACGACAGTGCAGCATCTCCTGGAGAAGCGAATAAGCATTCATTTCCGACGAGTGAAAAGCGCGCGAATGTATTCCTTGACAAACAAAATATAATGTCCCGTTATTATTAATTATGTAACAGCAGCGGTTGAGATATAATTCATATTAATCGGCTTGCTGCGAGTTTGGGTCGCCCACAATGAATAGGCTACTACACAGATGCGCATATCCTAGATTAGCCTACTTCGAGTAATTTGTAACAATTGCCGAATCACACAAGGATTACGTGTATCGGTGATAATGGTTATTAGAATAACGCACACGTCAGAATTTCGTGTTAGACAAGTGTGAAAGTAAAACTGATCATACGGCCGCTAACAGCTTCGTTGCGACGAAATTACGACAGATCTCAGCTGATACCACAAAACACAGCATTATATTTGTCTGAGCATTATATTTTATCGTAATCGATGCTTTTTCGAGGAATTTCATCGTTACTCAACCGATCCATTGGTCTCTTTCGAGGGACGGAGGATAAGTCTGTGTACAGATCGTAAAAGTGCGTTTGCTGTCGCGATAATCGCGATGTCAATGTACTTGCAACAATTCTCAGCCGATTTAATCACATTCGAGTGAGTAAAAAAATCTTTGAATAAACGGGCCGAATCGTCTGCAATTGAGAATTTTCCGAGATCTGAAACTGACGTCAAG